TTATATCTAATGTCTGATAAAATATATTCAAAAAATTTTATCCAAAACTTAAAATGTTATAAACATACTTAGAGTTTTGGATGAAGTTTTCATTAAGTTTTGAGAGCTTTTATATGGTAGTATTAGATACTTCAAAGCAATAAAGTTAAAAAAAATGCGAACATTTTTTTATGTGAGAACTATGTACTGCAGAAAGTATATATATCAATAGTGGAATTAATAAATGTGCACATGTAAAACTCTACAATTCTTATTTTTTGAACTAAAATTAGTTATAAAGTTTTTGTACAGTTTATTAAAAAATTATTACCTTTTCAGCCTAAACTTATTCAAGTCACATTTTATATTTACATAGGAAGAAAACCTGCACGTATTATTTCAACAACCGCCTCAACACCGATAGATGTAATTGCTCCTACTACACTAAATTTGATGAAGAGTTATCCTACTCTTGAAGATGGATCAAAAGGAGCTGATGTTAGTTCATTTGTTACGGAATCACCAGTGGAAGATACTGCTGTTAAATCTAATCCCAATATCGTTACGGAGATCAACAAAGTTGATGAACAGGCAACAAGTAAAACTTCTTGCTCAACATCTACTACAATTCTAGTCACAGAAAGCATTGGATTAAGTTCGTCGATAAGCCCTGAAGTTATTAAATTAAGTTCGGCTGACAGTTTTGAAAGTACTACTGATAATAGTTTAAATACAAGTCCCACTGGAAATTCTGAGAAAATTACACCATATGGTCTGATTATAAGTACGAAGAATGATCTTAATTCCAGTATTAGCGGTGACATTAAAGAAAACAATACTGATGTTATAACTGTGACTACCAGTATTAAAGTAAACACCTAAAATCCTATGAAACAATCTTCTTTAGAATTCTGAACTTACAAACTATGTTACAGCTCTGAGTAATACTAGGTTAAATATGGCCAGAAAATAAAAATTTGGTACTCTCAGCGAGAGAATATGAAATATTAATATGTTTTAAAGTAAAAGCATATAATTAGCTGTATGTTGCTTTGTATAAATTTCTAGACATTTTATTAAATATTATTAAATTGTCGTTTTTCTTGCAATATTTTAAATATTATTTCTTTTTTTATACTTTTTTTATTCAACAAAGAAAATGGTTGGTTAGTTTTTATATATCTTTTTTTTTCTGAAATTTGTGCTATGTTAAGGCTATATACGAGGGTGAATCTGAAAAAAAGTTTGCCTTGTCAACTGTGGTCAGAGTTGTGTATGAAAGTCAAAAAATAAAATGAGTCATTAAAGATAAGACATAACTTTATTTTTTCATATAAGTACGAAGTACATTGAGACATTTGTCATACCATTTGATAAGCTTCAAAAAGTCCTCCAAGAAAAATTCAGGGTTTGCATACGGAAGAAGCGTTTACTTTTGCGTAGACTTTTTGGAGGTTGGAACCATTAATGCTATGCAGTACTGTGACACCCTATCGAAATTGAAGGAGGAGATTTGGATAAAGCAGCCGGGGCTTCTCAAATCTGGTGTTCTATTGTGGAATGACAATGCGAGACCGCACTCAGCGACTTCAATGCAAAACCATATTGCAACTCTTGGTTGGGAGCGCCTATATCAAAGTCCTGATCTCAGACCATGTGACTTTCTTCTGTATCCGGCTTTGCAGAAGAATCTCGTCTGAAGGCGCTTTGGAAGCAATGCTGAAGTCTAACAGGCCGTTAAACGCTTCTTCCATATGCAAAGCCCTGAATTTTTCGTGGAAGGGTTTTTGAAGCTTATCAATCAGTATGACAAATGTGTCTCAATGTACTTGATAATTATATGGAAAAATAAAGTTTTGTCTTACCTTTAATGTCTCATTCTATGCTTTGACTTTCATATACAACTCTGACCAGAGTCGACAGGGGAAATTTATTTTACGACTCACCCTCGCTATATCAATTCTTCTCTTAATGTCTACCCGAATCTTATAACTCTGTTGAGCTTTTAATCATATAGCTGTGAAAACAAATGTAATTACAAACATATTATTTAGAGTAAAGCTCTGTAAGCAAAAAATGATACAATAAAGAAATTAAAATAAATTACATGTATTGTTTATGAAAAAAATTGATTTTTATTTATGTCACTGTAATGTATGTGCTGCTTGTAAGTAAATAAAATTTTGCTTCAATTTTTAAAAAAGCATACTTGATTGTTTTTCTTGTTTTACTTGTTTTTATTACTTGCATATTAATAAATATCTAATATGGAATTGTAATAATCTGATGAAGAAATACTAATTTCGCAATTGCTTTTTTTACGAAAATCAATGAAACAGGACCACAATCATCATTAGTATCATATTTCTTTATACAATGATTTTTAAACTGCTACGAGTGTCAATTAGAAGAACGATTTTATTGTTCTAATTAGAATAAGTATTATTATTATTATACTTAGACTTGTTTTTTCATAATGTATAGTTTACAAGTCTTTGCGAGTTATACTAATTATTTTAAATAATAATCAATGGAAATATGATATCTATAAAACAGTTCTATATATAAAATACATCTGGAATAATTTAAATAAAATGTAAATAAAAAAAGCGAAACTTAAATAAAATGTAACTAAAAACTTAAACAAATGAAAAGAAAATCTTGTCTAGTAGACAAATAAAATGGCCATATTTTAAAAAAGCAAAGCCTGGTCTGGCCTAGTTTAAGCAAGTTGAGCATGATAATAATAATAATGCAGACAATAATGACGTAAAAATTTTGTATACAGGATCTAAAATGTGACTGCAAAGCTCTGGAAAAATGAGTTTGTGTTTTAAAGTGATCCGTTATAATTTGTAAGTGAATTAATTTATCTAAGTATAACATTTCAATGTTTAATTATTTTTCTTCCTTAATATTGAAATATATTAAAGTATTCAAGCAAAAATTATGGGATATATATGGTAGATATAAAAATAAACAAAAAAAACTAAACTATAATTGAATTGAATGTTCCTAATCTCAAAAGTGTAATTTAATAAATCCCTATAAATTTACTAAGTAATTTTTTAAAAAATCTTAATTTTTACAAAGTGTCAAAAAGATATTTCTAAAATTTTAAAAGAAATAACCGAAAAATGGTTAATAACAGAGATTGACAAAAAGTGACCAATTAGATCGACACTTCTTTGGTCTGAAAATCACGACTTTTAGATTTTTTTCACAGTTCATAGTTATTTGTTATTTTACATTAAAAAATAACAGGTCAATAAAACCCAAATCTTAATAATGATTTATATTCAATATGTATTATTTAATCACTTTAAATCTATTATATATGAACATCTGTGATTAGATATCACACGTTTCTTTAAAAAAAACTTTTTTCATGCAAAATCGGAAAAAAAATTCAATTATCATAGTTAAATGGTTTTTATTTAATTCTTATTTTGTTATTATTAATTTGTCATAATATTATTTCATTAAGTCGAACTAGAATTATCCTATAACAAAACTAACTGGGAACAGACAAACAACAGTTTATTTTAAAATTAATTATTTTATAAATTCTGTTAAGTTTATAAAATAAACAATAAGATACTTCAAAATCACATAAGAATTATGAATATCATATAATTTTTAATAACATCCTTTACGAGAATTAATAAAGCAACTAAGATCATAAATAATAATTTTTTATTAAACAAAATTGTAAAGATTAAAATATTCTAATTATTAATATAAATAAAAATTTAAAGAAAGACCTTATCACTGAAGAAAATAAGAATGAAAAAGAGTTTTATACACGAAACAGTCCGTGCAACGCCGGGTTAAGCGGAGGGGAAACATAGTATACGACGGGGTGAAGAGACGGAAGATATTTCGAAAAAGAAAATTTTAATGACACACAAACCAGGAAGCAATGATATCGAGAGGGGAAGAGGAAATTTCCAATGACAAAAAGTTATGTACTCGATAAAGCCCAAGCAACGCCGGGCCATGCAGCTAGTTATTAATATAAAATAAGATTACTTGCAAGTAAACAAACTCAAAAGGAAAATAATAAGTGTACTGATAAAAAAATTAGCTTTTTTGATATTTGAGTTAAAATATCGTCTCATACAAGATTTGAAACGATGTATTACGTAATTTACTAACCAAACTTAATCTAAAAAATATTGATGTAGCATCATAATAGTAATATGATTGTTTTTGATAATTCATATAAATATATTTTTTACTATAAAACTAAAAGAAGCAAAACATTTATTTACAATACGGTCATTATTTACTCCTCATTCATAAAAACATGACATAAATTGTAATAAAGTAGATCCGTACAATATCTTTAAGGATACGCATGATGCTAATCAAAATATTCAGCTGCATTATCTTAAAAATATGCGATTCACTGCATGATACAATACCAACGAATTTTCAAGAAATTTCTTGCAATGAAATTTTCATGTATGATGCAATTATTTGAAAAACAAATGTTTTCCTTAAATTCCAAGAATAACTGAAAGACGACTTGTTTGTTATTTTTTTTTGTGGAGGGGGGTTCCCTTGTGAGTTTAATAACTTTTAATTAATATTTTATTGCTACGGGAATAAATTAAAATGTATGTAGCAATAAAACATACATTGTTGGGATAATTATATAGAATGGTTGTTTCTTAGAATTTATTTACACTTATTAGAAAAACAGGAAAGCACCCATTTCTTGTACCTTTTTACTATTCATACAATTTTAAAAAAATCATCTGTTTCTTATTCAATTCCCCTACTATTAGTTCCCTCTCTTCGTATATTTGTATATATATATATATATATATATATATATATATATATATATATATATATATATCTTGTTCAAATTTTCAATCGTTAATAAAATACTTTCTATTCATCCATTCAAGTTCAAATCAATTTTTTAAACTTGTGGTGGATGACACTTGATGTTAATACAGTTTTTTCAAATATTACTTCATTAGTTAAATTAAAAAATGAATGAACGAAAATAATAGTCCAACAGCATATATAGAAAGGAAAAATAGATAGCACGTTGGACTTCTAATCCAAAGGTCGTGGGTTCAAATCCCATCTGTCAAGGAATAATTTCTGTGAATGTGATTTCTTTTTTTACTGTACTATTTTATTAGGATAATTTAACCTAAATAATGAATAAATAGTAACAAACAAGCAAAAAAAAAATAGTCCAACACAATATATAGAAAGGAAAATGGAAATTTGCAAGAAAAATTACTTTCTATTTTGTCAATTGATATTGTGCTTCTGTCATATGTATATACATATTTATATTAATTGTTACTACTGAATAAAAAGTAACTAAAATAAAATTTTTCTTTGTTGACCTAAGTAAGAATTGATTAATTATTTTTATATTACTAGTTTTTATGAAAGTATTTCTCGTTATGAAAATATTAACATTGTGCGACATTTAGACTTAAGAGGTAAAAATGTTTAAAAAATTCATTGGTTAAAAAAATTATCCTCTCTCTCTCACACACACACGCACACACAAACACACACAAATATAGTTGTTAAAGGATTAAATTATTGAATACTTATTTTAGATAGACATAAATTTGATGAAAGGTAGCATAACAATGCTTCTCCTCTTCTTAGTAATGTGAGAAATATATTTTTTACTTTGACTTGTTCATTAAGTGTTAACAAGAGATGTTTTCGAATTTTGAAAGAAATGCAGTAAGCATGTGCTAAAGCTTTATAATTAAAATTTAGAGCAGGGGTGGGCGGACTTTTCCAGGGAGCGGTCTACTATTAATTTTTTCAATCTGTTGCAGTCCACCCAATGTCAGCGGCGCACATAAGGAGGGGGGTACTGGTCCGGACCGCCCCCCTACCCCTTGATTTTTTTTACCGATTGATTTTAATTCCATGTGTACAGTACGATAAACTTAATTAAGTAATTGTTATTAATAATTTTTTTATTATTTAATACTGAGTATTTATTTAATAATTTGTTTTTTATTGTTTTCTGTTCCCGACAATCTACAAAATTAAAAAAATATGTTTGGCTGCGTATTGTGGTATGACACCAGAATGGTTGACTTTCGATACTCGACCGCCCCCCTTTGAAAAATTCTTGTGTGAACCAATACCCAGTGTCGTAAGTGTAATGAGTTAGGAAAATGTCTACAATGTTTATTATAAATTAATAATAAATACGGAATATGTACTTACAGAGCTAAAAATAAAAAAAACTAACACTTTTAGAACTGCGTTTAAAGCAAAACGCAAAATACAAACATAATAGCTACAATTATAATAATATCAAATGATGCATTTGCTATCAAACAAGTCAAAATACATAAAAAAAGACATTTTTATCTAAAATTTATCTTAGTTTTTATCTAAATATTTTTTTACTTATATAGTCTGCATACTTCAACCAATCTTGAATAATTCCGTTTATAGTTATTAACTGATAAAATCTTCAGGCGATCACCCCAAAATATCTTGGCAATCCACCGGTCGATCGCGATCGACGTAATGCCCACCCCGGAATTCCACCAGCCTTAATTCCTTTGTAACTAAAGATAGGCCGTATACTACATAAAATAATTTTTCGTAAGCGAAGTTTGAATACAATCAGCTGCAAAACGAGGCTATGATGACATCATCTTCACCATATATTATCATTCTTCAACTTTACGTCGAAAGATTTATGGTACATAAAATGACAAAATGTTTCATGAAAAAAATCAAATCAAAATTTGATAGGTAATAACAAAGGGAATAAAACCTTCAAATAGCATCCTGTGGAACATTATTGTATTCTTTTGTACTTTTTGTATTATATATATGCGTCATCAGAATTGTGCTAAATATGTCATGCAAAGGCATAAAAATGTCTACGTGTACTTCAACTAAGGAGATAGCATGCTAACAGAAAATCGGAGAGAAAGGATTTTATTTTATCTCTGGTTAGGCTGTATTCTTCTAATGTTACACACCAGGATTCAAATTAAAGACACTTTTTCTGACAGCAAAATAATGTTCTAGTATTAATGTATGCTCGTGTGGCTTATGACACTTATGCATTTATGGTTACAGATTTCTTATACAATTTAAACCACCAGTAACCACGCCATCCTGAACCAAAGTTTTAATCTCTTTAAACATCTTCCATATTGGAAAGAAAGAGAGTTCTAGTTTTTAACATTAGAATAAGTCGTTCTACATAATATAGCACTTTCAGATGAAATAAATATTTAGATACACAACTTAGTTTTTTTTTCTGTTTCAAGTTACTTTTTAAATTTTAAGTCACGTAATAAATGTCGCAACTTTTATTCAAGATTTTTTTCAGTTTAAGTCTTGCTGTTTTTATAAAATTTTCGAACTCCTATAAAAAGTTTTATTTTGTACAATCTGAGAACTTCAATTAGATTTTTCTTTTTCCTATTAATTTTAACGCACGTGTTATTCACGAGCTGAATTGAAATATGATGCAAAATTATACAAATACCCATAAATATAAAATAATATCATATACGATACTTAATTATTGATTAAAAATGACGGAATTTTCTAAATCGAGCATTGTCGCAAATGGAACCATCTATAAAATCAATTATGAACTTAGCCGACATTAAAGTTTTTTTTCCAAAATTTCTTAAATATATTTAGATGTGTTTTTTATTAAAAGAATTAAAATAAAAAAGTAATGTTCTTAATTTTATGCATTATTAAACGGAATTAAAATAAAGAGTATATTAATGGAATATTTACTAATCATTTCGTAAATAGTATCATTAAATTTATTTACATATCAAAACAACGTTTTACAACAACGTTTTTAAAATGAGAATTTATGTATATGTGGAAATATATATATGTCAAGAGATATTTTTCCCTCGACATTTTTTCATAATTAAACATCTTCAAACTTAACTTTTATTCCATATGTTTAAAAGTAACGGACAACAATTTTTTTTGTGGCTCAATATATGCACATACGTATGAAATGTTGAAAAATATATTCCATTTCATATTTTATTTTGAAACATTTTGATGCAAATTTTGTCAAATGTTATTCAATTTGTTTCTGTCTCAGATGCCGAGGATTAAATTATTCACGTAACTTGCAAGCACAGTTTTCTTTGAAGTTATTTAAACTGAAAGTGTAAGGAATCGTTATTAATTACTAATATGTATTGGTTTCAGAATCTAAATTATTATTGTGTGTGTTGTATTGTTAATCTTACAATACAATTTGCTAATTGTAATTATTACATCTCAATACACTATCTTCTCTTAATTCCTACAAACTTGGAACATTTATTTCAATTAGAATACCTTCAATCTTTCAAACTGAATCTTTTTATATAGTATTTGGCATCACTAGCATATTAAGAGAATTGCAATTTATTATTTAATATGTTCCATTTTTATCTGTTTTATAACTACGTATAATAAATTCCATGTTTTTTCTGCTAAACTACCACTATTCGAACAAATTTTTAACTTTGCATGTAGAGAAGAAAAACTGAGTGTTAATTAGAGAGTTTTGCTAAGGTTTAAGGATACAGTATGGCAAATAAATATAAATGTAATAATCACGTCTACTTCTATTAGTATTGGAATATTTGTTTCTCTGTAAGTGTTGTCGAAACTTGAATATCATTAAATATAACTTGGATTCTCTTTAAATAACATTATAAGTTAAGTCAGTCATAATTTCTAGTAAAAATCTTAACAAATATTTTTAGCAAAAGTTTTTAAAATTGCTTTAGACATATACTGTGATATATATGCAGTTAATCCGTATGTAATGTAGCTATAAACTACAATAACAATGTTTCTTTTCTGTAAATTGACCAATATATTTTTTTTTCCAAATAATTTCCATTACGTAATTCACGAAACATTACATCATTTTGATTAACAATAATTATTTTGGTTAGCATCCAATACCAGTATTGTCGACATATTTTTTTTAGCGTTGAAGCTATATTAAGCTAAGTATATATTTTTATACATTAAAATATTACATATTATATTTCAAAGGAAGATAATTTTAATTAATTTTATTGTGAAATATATCAAGAGATAAAATGACATAGACATCGAGGGAAATTAAGTGAGCAAGTTAATTAAAAGTAATAATCTTCTTATTATTGAAGGTACTTTAAGCATCATTTAAAAATAAAAATAATAAGGAACTAAAATACTTATTTGAAAATGAATGCCAAAAACTAAAAGTAAATTTTCAAGATTTATTTCAGCCATCCTTCGTTGTGGAAAGTTACTGGCCTGAACTCTTCATTTCTTGCAAGACTTTCAAGAAATCTTCTTTCGTTGCATTTGGATCTTCCTTCATTACATCGAGTTTGCCCATGGCTTGTTCGAATTCTCGTTGACCTCTTTTGGACAACTCTGTTGCCTTCTGTTCCAAAATTGCAGGAACCTTTTCTTTCCAATCATCAAACTTGAAAGCGACAAGAACTTGATCCAAAATTTGTGCCATTAGGCTATTGTCACCACCCAACATTTTATGGAATATATTCCTCACACCATCAAACATCTTGGCCATAGGAGTTTGATTTTGACCAAGAGTTAAGGTTACAAAACCCAGTAAAGTGAATAAGTAAATTGCACGTTTCATCGCAGAATATCAAGTGGACCTCTAACAGGAACTTGTGAAGCTTGCTTGTGTTACTGAATTGTTCAGCCCAAATAGAATTTTTTACAAATTGGGTTATGAGTGTTATAACAGTGAAAAGTGTCAGAGGATCTTGTAAAAATTTATTCTCATCTAAAGCTTTTTAGTGCATAAATAATATTATCATTTCAATCGTTCTATTATGGTGAATCAAAAACTGGGCATAGATTACTATTTTTGACACGAATAAGTTTTATTCAGTGTGGTAACAATCGATTGAATAGTTTTATTGATACAACTGTTATCAAGTACTATCATTTATTGATTCTTTTTTTTCTTTGATGTTTTGAAAGGATGGTTACAAAGGAAAAAGGAAAACCTTTCAAAACAGTGGTTCCCCATTACAAGAGGAAAGGCTTTATTTTCGTTTAGCACGCTAACGCATTATCTTTTATCTGGAAAG